CATAAAGATTTCCTGCCTCAGAAACCCCATGGGAGTCCCTATGAGGCAGAACTGACTCAATGGAAGTGAGTTTGGTTTGGTTTTTGTGTTTGTTCTTGTGAGCTGCCATCAAATCAGTCTACATTCATGACAAGCCCACGTATAACAGAATGAAACACTGCCCAATTGTGAGCATCCTCACAAGTGTTGGTGTGTTTGAGCTCATTGTTGCAGCTGTTCTGTCCGAGGGGTTCCTTCATTTTCAAAGCATGGCTCTAAGCAAGGGTCTTCTATCACACCACACATCTGTACCCACTCAATCCCCTACCAGAGTCAAGTGCAACTGAACAGTTGATCCAAGAAAAGCTATTCCACAGGATACCAATAGCCCTTTTGAAACAACCCAGCTTGAAAAGCTTCAGTGTGGTTATAAGTTTAATCATTACATTCTCCAGATATGAGCTGTGATTGTTGTTATTGTTGTTATGTGCCATCGAGTCAAACCTGACTCATAGCGACCCCTCCTTGGGTTTCTGAGGCAGTATCACTACGGAAGTAGGATTGCCCAACCTTCCTTCCGAGCTGTGATTAGAGAAGCTCAAAAGTCTTGAGATAGAGAGAGGCCAGAGTTAATATAAATATGCAGACATGTTTAAGATTAGAAAAATCTAGCCATACAAATCACCACATTATGATAGATTTTTAAAATCTGATTATCTCAGTTGATGCAGAAACAGTATTTGATAAAATTCAATACCCAAACCCACACTGGTGACAAAAATGATATGCACACACTGTTTTGCCTCCCTAATGATGCTATCACAGAAATATCATGAGTGGATGGCTTTAACAAACAGGGATTTATTCTCTTACAGGTTAGGAGGCTAGAAGTCTGAGTTCAAAATGCCAGCTCTAGTAGCTGGGTGAAGGCCCCTTGACCTTGGGCTTCAGCTCTGTGTCCTGCTCAAAGCCCACTGGAGCTGGAGGCGTCTCTTAACTCAGGCAGCTGCTGGCTGCTGGTGCCGACAAATCCAAGGTCAGCAGGTAAAATGACACAGTCCCAAGGTTAACAGACAACACGGCAGTCCACTGGTTCAAGACCAGGAACAGTCCAAAATGGGAAGGCAAGAGGGCAGGCTGCTGAGATGAAGACTTGGCCAAATGCAGGACCCAGATGTGCCAAAAGCTCAAGCTCTCTCTCAAAGTGTCTCCTCATATGCTGGCGGCAGGCCACATCCCAAAGGCAACTAATGAGCTGCTCACAGCAGATTCCACCATGGAGTTGATTACACCATTCAGTCTCATCCTGGGGAATAACTGCACCCAGCTGTCCAACCACTCAAAACCACAGCTCAGCCAAGTTGACACACAAGTTTAATGGCCACACACACAAGCACAAGTAAAACTGGGGCAATCTGAGTAACACTGGTAGATGGTATCATTGTAATATCCTGGTTGTGATACTGTACTATCATTCGCCAAATTGTTACTATTAGGGAAAACTGGGCAAAGTATACAAGGATCTCTCCATATTATATTTCAAAAGTACATGGAAATCTGCAATTATCTCAAGGGCAATTTCAACTAAAAAAAAAGGAGAAGGAACAAGAGATGAAGATGTGATGGACAGACAGAGAAAGGTGAAGGAAGGGAAAAGATGAATTTTATGGGTAATTTACTTCCATAGTGATATCACCTTGGAAACCCAAGGAGGGGTCGCTATCAGTAGGATCTCAGTCAACATGCATACCATCAAAAGTTGGTAAGTTAAAAATAGAAAAGAACAAATTTACAAAAACATCATTGCCAATTAGTATAACCTTATTTAAAAAAAAAAAAAATTGCAGTTTCAAACTTCTGTGTTTTGAATAGATCACAACATTCTCAAGGCTGCTGACAACAGGCCGATATGATTAAGATGATTCTGATGACTAACATACAAAAGGGCTGTCAGACAATCTGTGACATCTCCCATAAACATCTGTGTCCAGTGCCTTCCTCTAACATGGATATCATGATGCGTCTTATGCTATTTTTGCTTCAGTTATCCTAACAAAAGGTGTCACTTTGTAAATAAATAAATAAATAAATAAACAAATCTCTTCCCAAGCAAAGAATAAAAGAGAACTCCCATAATTTACTAATGACTCCCTCCCAAGAACCCCACAGCAAACATCATGCTTAAGTGGTGAAATGTTAGCTGTTCTCCATTAAGAAAAAAGGAAGAATGCTCATGATCGCCACTTATACTCAGTATCATACAGGTGTCCTGTTGTTGTTATGTGCCGTCGAGTCAGACCCGACTCATAGCAACCCCTCCTTGGATTTCTGAGGCGGTATCACTATGGAAGTAGATTGCCAAACCTTCCTTCCAAGGAGTGGCTGGTGGGTTTGAACAGCCACAGCCTTCTGGTTAGCAGTCAAGTGCCTTAGGCACTACACTACCAGAGTTCCTGGCCAGTGCAAAATGGATTCATTCATTAATTAAAAGCATCAGACTCAGATAGCAATAATTGTCAGTATTCACAGGCCACGTGATTGTGTAGAAAGTGACACGTTTTACACAATAAATAAATTTTACAACTAATTTTAGAACTAGTAAGACAGTGCACCAAGGTTTCTGGACTCGAGACCAAGAGCAGAAGCTGAAGAGATCATGATGGATGTTGTGGGCTCAAGTGGTAAGCAAACAGGTAAGACAAGCCATTAGCAGAAATCAGAGCAGCAGAAAGACCTAGGCAAGAGCTGAGCCCCCGAATGAAAAGTGTCAACTCTTCTGCTCTTGCTAAGCATCTCCTGTTGTATTAGATCTAGGTTCAGTACCTGTGCGGCCCAGTCACACCAGGCTCCTTGTTCTTTGCTTCTCACATCTCCCTCTTCACAACAGATACTACAACCACCTGTCCAAACACATCTGATAATGTCTGTAAGTGCACTCACAAAACCCCAACTGAAGCACTCAGAAATATGAAGGACAGCCACATCTTCAAAACTGGACTAAGTAATCATGTTGTTGTTGTCGTGTGTCGTCAACTCATAGTGACCCCTCCTTGGGTTTCCGAGGCGATATCACTATGGAAGTAGATTGCCCAACCTTCCTTCCAAGGAGTGGCTGGTGGATTTGAACTGCCAGCCTTCTGGTTAGCAATCAAGTGCCCTAGGCACTACGCTACCAGAGCTCCCAAGTAATTATAATAAGCTCTAATTTCTACTTGATTTAACATTGATCAAATATTAAAATAACATTTTTATATATTGAGTTAAATAAAATATATTATTAAAATTAATTTCAACTGTGTGGTTTTTTTATTTTGCTTTGGTTCAGTTTGGTTTTTCACTTTTTCAATTGTCTACTAGAAAATTTTTCATTACATATTGGCTCATATTTGTGATTTACACTATATTTCTATTTGACAGTACTGATACATAATGTCAATAAGTATTTAAACAATGTGTATATTAGATTGATACATAGATATATGTGTGCATTTATATATGTGTAGATATTTAAAGCATATATGTATACATATATTTTTTCTATCAGATGACATAAAAAGACTTATAAACATATATTTATTAATAAATATGTTTATAAAACTTTGTCATCTGATAGAAAATTTATATAAAGATAGATACAATCTTATAACAATAGTATAAAAGAGGTACTATTTATTGACTCAGTCTTGTGACAGGGATACTGCTAAATGCTTCAGATAGATTATCTGTAATCCTTGCAACAATGCCACCCTGGATTAGGGAGACTGAGTGATTTGTCCAGAATTACACAGCTAGGAAGTACTGGACCCAGGCTCTGAAGGCAGGTCTGCCTGAGGGCAGTGTTAATACTCTGTGGTACTTCAAGCAATGAAGTTGAAAGAAGTCTTGTTTGGAAGTGATCATATCTTGTGAAGTTGGTCTTCATCCAGCTTGGGCAAGGACTATGCAAGCCATATACCTATCATGAAGTAAGTGTGCCCTTTTCTGTGTTAGACACTGTGGACTGAACAGCTTTGAAAACCAGTGAACCCACCCAACTAGCCCAAGGGCCCACTGCTCATCTTGTTCAGAGAAAGGATCTGTAGGAGTGAGAAGCGGCAACAGAGTAATGAGTGCCCAAGGCAGCTGAAACGATGGCACAACGGCCCACGTGAGGTGTGGCCAGCACCTTTGGTGCCACCACAGATGAGTTCCTCTGTTTAAGGAAACATCCTTAGCCTCGTCTAGGCTGCTGACTCTAGCCCACTCTTAGAAAATTCATCAGTAACAACAGCACTAATGGTATAGAAAGACTTGGAATACCTGAGTAGGAAGTAATTCAGAGAAGAAGGGGATAACATCAGTGTCTGCGATGTGCAATAGACTAATCATAAAACTAAGCCAGACTAAGCCAAAAGAAAAACCTATTGCTGTTGAGTCAATTATGGCTCATAGCGAGCCTATAGGTCAGCATAGAATTGCCCCATAGGGTTCCCAAAGCTGTAATCTTTACAGAAGCCAACTGCCACATCTTTTTCCCTTGGAAAATCAGGTGGGTTCATATCAATGGCCTTTTGATTAGCAGCCAAGTAACTAACCAATGTGCCACCAAAGCTCCTTAAAGAAAGAGCCAAAAGAAACAGTCTTCTAAAACCCAAAATACCTTCCACCATCAAGCTTTGGGAAAACTAAACATGCAAAGTTTTGTCATTCCTTTATCCATCTTCTCCCTTAACAGTACCCTAGCCAGACAGGCAATGGAAGTATACAGACCTTGATAAGGCATTCCGATCAGTACCCACAAAGGGCAACTTTCCTTCCCACAACAGTTTGAGATGAGTGAGTGAAAGGGAAGTGTGGAAGGGGGCTGGGGAAGGGGAAAAGAAAACCGGCCAGGAAAAAAAACAACAGAAGGCAATAGTGACATTCAGATCTGAACCTAGGAATTTCTGAATGGTTCAGAATGGGACACATTGTCACCTCTGATTTAATTAGAAGACTGTTTTCAGGATGCTGAAGGTCTAGGCTCATAATCAAGCACTTACGTAATCCTCCTCATTAAGCCCTTGTTTCTCAACAGAACTTTTCACCTCCACGGAAAACTTCTCAAACTCAGGTTTCACTGTCCTCAGTAGAGTGACTGTTTGGAGGGATGAGTACGCCTGCTTAGCTTCAAAGTCATGTTTGTCTCCTCGCTTCCACGAGCCATCTCCTACGGGAGAAATAAAAATATTTATCATTCCAAGCCAGTCACTATAAAGAAGCCATTATCCCTTTTCAACTATGATGTGTCCCTACATGTTACTTTTGGCAGCCAGGACAAGAGGTATTGTCATAGTTTTGCACTTGAGTGTAACGTGACAATGTCAAGATCGTTAAAAAGGAGCAGAAGATCCTTTGGACATGTGTCCTTTGAAATGTGAGAGAAAGAAAAGCACTGTTGAGGTAACGGCCCTATAATAACCATACTACTGCAATTTACGGCACCCTAGAACTGCAGCATGGCAGGAATAAGAAGTACATTTTTATTTCCTTCCACTCACATTTATTTCTAATACGTACAATCCACCGTAGATGTGCACCAAGTGTTACTGTGGTATGTAATAAGCCTGATTTATGTAGCTGTCCAGTGGCAGGCTACAATTTTTACACTGCAACAGATATACACAAATCTTACAAAGTTGGCACTGTTAAAGAAAAAAGTTATAGATTATTGATAGTCTTTGGATGTCTTCAGAGTGAAAATAGCTTAGGTGAACTTGAGCATTTGTATCTCTCTTGTCCTGGCAGCACCATAAAAAGTATTTATTGGACAATGTTCATCAGTGCATTGACAGTAAAATACAATACATGTTGAGTACGATAATAAAAGTATTTCTTGAGCACCTTATATGCATGAACTCATTTAGTCCTCCCAAGACCCTGTGATGTGGGTATGGTTATCCTCTCTACTTTAGGGAAAAGGAAGCAAAACTTGGAGCAGCAATGACTCACTTCTTCATTATTTCACTTTTGAGAAGACAGAAGTCCTGTAAGGTCTAAAAAGGAACCATGGACCTCTAACTTTTGACAAAAGGGCCCTGGAGGCACAATGATTAAAGCACTAGGCCGCAAAATGAAAGGTCAGTGGTTCAAACCCACCAGCCACTCTGCAGAAGAAAGCTATGGTAAGCTGCTTCTATAAAGATTTACAGCCTTGGAAACCCTCTGAAGCAGTGCTACTCTCTCCTGTAGGGTTACTCTGACTCAGAAACAACTTACAGGCAATGGATTCAACTTTCAACCAAAAAAAAAAAATTTTTTTCCTATAAATTATCTTTATGGTTCCTGAATATCTATGGAAATACAACAAGGAACTCAAGCTGCTGAGTCATTTATTCATTGGGAGCCTCGAGTTCTCGAAAGACTCTTCAAATGCAAAGGGTGAAGAGTAAGGCCATCTCTGAAGTGTGCAGCCTGGGCCACGTGACCCACATTCTACTCTTGGAGAAAAGGTTAAGTAAAGCTCTGGGGCCTTTGGAACTTCTATCACAGCTTGAATCGGTCAAACATCAATTCTTGTTGGTGTTTGCTGCCATCAAATCGGCCCCCAATTCATAGTGACCCCACGCATAATTAAACAAAATGCTGTGCGGTCTAGCACCATCCCCGCGACTGGTTGCAGATAGGACCGTTGTGACCCATGAGGTTTTCATTGGCTGATCTGCAGAAGTAGTCCACAAGGCCTTCCTTCTTAGCCCATCTTAGTTCAAAAGTTCTTCTGACACCTACCCAGCATCATAGCAACAGAGAAGCCTCCACTGACAGATAGATAGTGGCTAAGCATGAGGTGCACTGACCAGGAATTGAACCCAGGTCTCTCACACAGAAGGCAAGAATTCTACCACTGAACCACCAATGCCTCAACATTAATTAACTATGCACAACTATGTGTAGGCAAGGGAGCCACGGTGGGCGTCATTAATGTTGGAACAATCTCAACCACCTTCAAGAGAAGGACTGGACACAGACATGTGAAAAACTGAAGTATTACAGAGTAGGATTAAAAACTTACTGGAGAGGGCAGAGTTTCAAAAAAACAATGCATAGTATGGTGGAAGAAGCAATGAGCTTCAACAGGGGGAAGTGTTTCAGGGAGGAGGGGACATTACTGGTCCTAAATGTGTGAATAGGAATATAAAAAGAGAGGGAGGTGGAAAGGCATGCCTGGCAGAGCCCAGAGTATGGTCAAAGGTGCAAATGTGCATGACATCCAGTAGACAGCTGGCAACCTCAGCCGGCAGCACGAGAAAGGAAGGGGACAAAGGACTCGTCAGTGGAGGCATCTGTATAACCATAATCCTAATAACAGCAACTATTTATTAACTGCTTACTGTGTGCCAGGGAGCTGCTAAAAGATAAATAAGACAGAGCTAAGGACAGAATTCATGAAGGACTAGATCAGTCCTTCAGTGGACACAAGATTAAATTTCAGGCCACCCAACAAAACCTGACAAAGTCCCCCTCCTTCCAGCTGAAGCCTGCCAAACACAGAGGCCACAGCGTAAGCAGTCAGTATGCCTGTCTGCTGGGACCAAGGGAGCCAGAAAGCACTGCCACCAGTCACCGACAACGTGGCAGGGTGTTCCATGACCAGACAGACAAGATGGCCTTAGACAGAGAACTGAACCTATCTGACAGGAAGACCCCAAAGTCTAAAATGTCCAGAACATCTTCATCCCATGGAGGAACCCATTCCTTATAGGCATGCAAAACTTTATGTGGATTCATTTTTATTTGACTTGAGGAGTCAAGACTTGGCATAGCCATGTTTCTTAGGCAAAGACAGTCAATGCTTCTCTGCTCCAGGATAGAATTCTCTTCAGGACAAGAGGAGAAATATTTAACCCTGTAGGTTTTATGCTGTGTAACTAGAAAGTCCACCACCTGTCAGTTTGTTGTACTGTGTGGTGTCTTGCATGTTGCTATGATCCTGAAAGATATGTCACCGGTATTTCAAATACTAGGAGGGTCACCATGATGAACAGATTTCAGTGGCGCTTCCAGAGTAAGACTAGGAAGAAAGGCATGGAGATCTACTTCTGAAAATTAAGCAATGAAAAGCCTATGGATCATCACAGAATATTGCCCAATATAGTGCTAGAAGACGAGCCTCCTAGGCTGGAAGGCACTCAAAATACAGTGTCCACAATCAAGGACTCAAGCATACTAACAATCATGGAAGTGACACAGGACTGGCAGCTCTTCATTCTCTTGTACATGGGGTCACCGGGAGTCAGAGTGGACACCAGAGCAACTAACGATGACTGGGAAGTATAGCTACAATTGGATACAGCAACTACCTGAGTTACAGAAATGGGAAAACCTTCCTTTAATTTTAATTTGGAAAGAGTTAAATCCAATACAATAAATCTGCCCAATACAGTCTGAAAGGTAATAACTTCAGAGTTTATTTTCTAGCAAATCTCCACTAGTAAAAATAAAGGAAATTATTTTGCTGTCACCACTAGGGTTTTCTAGGCTATAATCTTTTAAGGAAGAAGCCAAGGTAGCACAGTGGTTAAGCACTGGGCTCTTAACCAGAAGGTCAACAGTTCAAACCCACCAGACACTCCACAGAAGAAAGATGTGGCAGTTGGCGTCTGTAAAAATTACAGCCTTGGTTACCACTGTCAACCACTTGGAGGGGGATCTGTGTAGGAGATCCTGAATGGAATGGGAGAACAATGTGCATCAAAATTCAAAATCATAAAATAAATTTAAAAAAAAATAAAGGGACCAGGTTTTCTGGTCTGATAGAGTCTGATGAAACCCCTGACATTATGGCCCCTAGCTGCCCTTCAGGGGTGGAACTGAACTCCTATGGCTTCCAGCCAAACAAAAGACAGGCAGATGAGCTGAACATTTACATTAGGTAGATACACTCCTTGGAGAGATCAATCATGGAGAATAGAAGGTCTGTGTACATAGGAAGACAGCTCGGAGGGGCCAGGAATGCGTGGGAGGGAAGGACACAGGGAGCAGGTGGCTATGGGGATGAAGTGGGAGGAGAGCTGCTGCACTGTGGGACATTGCAGTCAATGTCATGAAACACTGCCTATGTAAACTACTGTATGGAGCATGAATTTGCTCTGTAAACTCACCCAAATCACAATAAAATTGAAAAAAAAAACAGCCTTGGAAACCCAGTGTAACAGTTATGAAAAAAAAAAAAAAAAAACTCACTGCCATCGAGTTGGATTCGACTCATAGCAACCCTTCCTTGGGTTTACGAGGCAGTATCACTACAGTAGATTGCCCGATATTCATACTCTGTCCCATGGAGTCACCATGAGTTGGAATCAACTCAAGGGCAATGGGTTTGGTTTTCTGATTTAATCTTTGGTGAAGCAGATAGCCAGACCTTTCTCCTGCAGACTTGCTGAGTGGATTTATACTGCTGACCCTTCAGTTAGCAGTCGAACACTTAACCAGTGCACCACCAAGGCATCCTAATGGAAATGATAGTATGTAATAAATTTAAGTCAAGCTAAACAGCTATCTATGCACAACCATAACAAATACTATGACTTCCTATTTTTATGAGTGTTTCTTCCTTGTAGTGTGTCAATAGCATCTCCCATATCAGGCAGCTGAACACTAGGAAAGCAAAGGTCAGCTTGGCGGGACACCTCATCAGTGAGGACAAATTTAATTCAGTAGACAACTGGGTGCCTCTGAAGATTTACGAGCAGAACAGAAGAGTGACATGATCAGAATCATGCCTTGGGAAATAGTCATGGATTAGAGTGAGGAGACACGAAAGGTTCACGGCCCACAGTAATCCAGGCAAGAGGTTTTAAGAGGTTATCCAAGGGAACTTACACACTAGAACTTTTTAAATGATTCTCAGGGTGGTTAGGCTCATAGGTGAGTTTTTCTTTTTTTATGTTTCTAAACTTTAAATTTTTCGACAATAGGTTATTTACAACTGTTTTAATGCTTTGCGAGAGGAATGTCAAGCCTCTACTACAGTCAGGGAGTGAGGGATAGCAGAGAGGGAGGCACCGCATGAATGACGCCAATGAGAAAAGGAGAAAAGGTTGTCCTTAAAAGAAACAGTGTAGCTAGATGGAGGAGGAGGAAAATGAACATGGAAATGGTCATCGCTTCAGTTAGGGTCACGGTAAATCAAAGGTGACTACTGAAGCTTAAGTGACAATACCCCGCTAG